ATAACAAAGATTGGAGAGAAGAAAATGATGAGAAAAAATGTTAAGGTATATGAGAATATGTATAGATGGATTATTTTTTCAAATTGTAAAATCTTAGAATGTTGGTGGTAATTTTTTCAAAATTTAAAATTTTAAAATTTAAAATATTGGCGTTTATTTTTTCAAAATTTAAAATTTGAAAATTTAGTGTTGGTTATTTTTTCAAAATTTAAAATTTTAGTGACGGTTATGTTGGCGGTCATTTTTTCAAAGTTTTATTTAGCTTTTTAATATAGCATTTTCTTATTGAAGATTTTTTTTTATTTAACTTTTTAATATAGCATTTTCTTATTGAAGATGCTCTTAGATGGAATGTTCTATTATCCTTTATTTATACAACCTAGGGCTTTCACCCATCCGAACGGATTCGAATCTTCATCGCCTTTCCTCGACTCACTTCACTTGCTCGACACGCCTTCATCTCTACCCACTTCTTTGAATTCTAATCGTGACAAACCCATCTCTTTGAATTCTAACCATGACCAACCATGACAAGGCTGAATGGATTGGAATGGGAAGGCTTACTCTGACCAAGGCTTCACTTTTTGCTCCATTCATGGAGCGTATGAATCTCCTGGAACGTAGACAGACCAAAAAAGCTAGCTTTTGGGTGTTGTTGGGAAGCCTATGATGCTAAATTTAGAGTGGAAACGGAAGAATGAAGATTGGAAGATAGGGGGTATTGCTGGGAAGCCTAGAATGCTAGATCTAGATTGGAAATTGAAGGATGAAGATTAGAAGATGGGGGGGAGTCTAATTGGCTATGTTATTGTGTCTCAAAGGGCAAAGGGAGGGTGCCACCATGCTGATGTGTGATTTTAGAGCTAATCGAACCGGTTCAGTTTGGGTGGATTTTAATTAATTTTAGCATTACAAATTATAACAGAACCGAATTGAAAGTGTTTCTAAATATTTTAATTAGTTTAATTGATTTTTTATTTAATTTATCTAATTATTTTTATATTTTATCGGTTTATTAGTTTTTTATTTAAAATAATAAATTTTGATATTTTCAGATATTTTGATATTAAAAATAATATTTAAAAATTAAAAAAATATTATTTTAATACATTTTTTATAAAAAATATTTTAAAAAATAATCATAATTATATTATTTTAAAATAGACTTTAACCGGGAAGAAGACTGTTTTTGACCTTTTTGTTCGCCTTTCTCTTTTGATTTTCTGTATTTTTCCTTAGTATTCAAAAAACAGAAACATGAAAAATATAATATAGAACCGAAATAGAAAATTAAAAAAGTAGAGGACCACACAAATTCGCAGAGGATGAATAGGAGAATAGTATTTGATACTTTTGTCCTGTGTTTCAAAATATTTTTTTTAAATTAATATTTTTTTTTACGATCATTTTAATATATTAATTTTAAAAATAAAAAATAAAATATTTGAATATAATTCCGAACAAAAAATATATTTTAAAAACAACTCTATTAACTTCACAGATATCCCCTGAAAAAACTTCCCTATGAAAACCACCGTGTCAGCAGCAGCACAGCTCTAAACCCAGTAAAAACTCTTAAACCCTCTCTTGCCTTGTTCTCCTTCAAAACCCAAACGCAGTCTCTACAAAAATCCCGACTTCCATTCTTATTTTCAGCTGAATTCTGTGCAAAAAGCTAAAGCTAAAGCCAAAGTTGGTGAGGAGAAGTGATATGAAGTTATGGCTTACTACTACAAGTCATTGAATCTCCACCACATTTGGAAAGGAGGGTTTCACTGTGTGGGAGGAAATTTTGCAGCAGCGAGTCGGATTGTTGGCTTTAATAACCTTTCCAATTTTAAGAGAAAGGTTTTTCTGTCTCGTCCTTCATCAGCTGTTCTATTGAACAAGGTAATGCTAATACCTTGTTATCTGCCATTTCTGATTAAATTAAATTTGGGGATTTTGAAAAGACTGAACCTTTTTGTTTTTTTAAATATTTTTGGTTATATTTTAATTCTTTTAATTAGTTTTTATGCAAGATCCTTTTTTTCGCGGGGATATTGTTTTTGACTTTCGGGTTTTGTTTTGTTTAGGGCTACTGTAGTTCATCTCAAGTTGTTTCTGCAATTCCTCAAAGTAATGTACTAACCTCTTCCAAAAGTGAAAATGAGGTGGTCCACCAAGATTTGGTCAAGCGTGAAGAAAAAGCTGCGGAGACTAATAATCCTTCAAATGGAAGAGTAATGCTTATAGATGGTACATCGGTCATTTATAGAGCGTACTTCAAGCTTTTAGGTATGTCATGGTATTGACTGTTTTTTTTTTTTAATACTCATGTTGAATTATTTGACCAATGGAAAAATTGAAGTTTAAGTTTTGTTGTGGATTTTTTGATTGGTTCTAGGAAATTATTGTCACACCTTTTGGCCAATTGTATTGTGGTGTCATTTGTATGTCTGTCTTTGTTTTTTGATTTTTGTCTGCAATGTCAGAGTTTCATGTGCCAGGAGGGCTATTCTATATTTCAGTTAGTTTAACTGCTTATATGAGATTAGACTAGATATTACAATGACATTAGCTAATGGATTAGATATTTCAGGATGCGTTAGGCAGTCAGTTTTTCAAAGTATTTGGGCAAGTCTGTTGAATGTATAGATAAGTTCTAATGATTCTATGGGTTTATTGTCTACTCTCTACTCAAGTCTCACTGTCTATTGAGCTTAGTAATGTGTTTCGGAGATTTGAAGAGAGTAATCTTTAACATTATTGCATACTCACTATCTAAGATTTACACTGTGTTTCGGAGGTTTGAAGATAAGGATCATGTTTGAAAGTATTGCCTGCTTACTATCTCAATCATCATTGTGACTCTTGTCCAATAAAATATTTGGAATTATTTTTGCCTTCATAAATTTTGAAAATTTTCTTGGCTGGTCTTTACTTCATGGATCTACGAAGTTTCTTACTCATACTTCCTTTATGTTGTGAATTTCTCCATTTTTTGATGAATTATTGCTCATAGCTATAGAGAATATGCATCAGATTTTAGAATGAAAGTTGAAATATCAGCAATGACTTACCTGTTTCTGAAATTTGGACTTCTCGTGATCATTGGCTATCTTTTAAACTACAGCTACCTTTAGTTTCAGTGTGCAACCTAGATCTAGTATATTTAAATTGGACCAGTCTTGTATTTTAGCTTATCATGACTGTCTTCTTTTGATTGTGAGCAGCAAGGGTGCATCATGGTCATCTAACACATGCAGATGGCAACGGAGATTGGGTTTTAACTATATTTTCTGCGCTATCTTTTGTAAGTGTATTCTTTCAGTCTTATGATTTCCTATTATTTAGGGACTGGTTTGGCTGCTGTCCACAGTCCTGTGAGCTGGGCCACATGTACTGACACTGTAGAGTAGAGTCTACACTCTAGAGACAGAGAAAGGAAACAAAGGAGGAGAGATATAATCACACAATACACAAATAACTCAACCTTCACATGACAGCCTCAAATCAAAAGTCACATAATAATCCTCTATATTATTTTGAGAAGAGTGCATAAATACTTACATAATTATCAACGTAACCCATTGTTTAAGTTCTTAATGTCTAAAGCATATCTCTATTATTTCTCTTGCAGATAATTGATGTCCTGGGATTCATGCCTTCCCATGCAGTGGTATGACATTTGCTTTATGCTTATATTTGTATATTTCATTCAATCACATTACACAATGAAGATAAATAAGTTTTGTGCATTGCTATCTATGTGCATTAAGCATTCTGTTTTGGCTAACTTTTTTGTTCAAAGAAGGAATGATTTAATGTAACTATAGTAGGTGTTATTAGTGATAGCAAGAGGCTGAAAGCTACTAAAGTATCCACATTTTGCTTTCTGACACGCACAAAAGTTAGTAATTTGCTGGATCAAAATTTCATCTGAAGCACGAAATTGATTTTCACAGAAGGAAAAAAAAAATGCTGGATACATTAAATTTAGATGGTAGTCTTCTATGGGCTGCTGCTTTAACCATAGTTCAATTGGCTGGACTCGCCAAATAGTGTGGAATGGGTTTAGCAAGTATAGTGGGGCCATCAACCCTAAAAAATATTATTTTAAGTGGAAACTGGAAAGTGTCTGGACAAAGATTTATAAACACGTTGCTTGTTATTAACAGTTAAAACTCTTAGGTTCTGTCTTCAATTTTTCTCAAACATGAGATTCACCTCTCTAATATTTGATTTGTTGAATCTTTCTGAAATGTGACATTGCTTCCCTTATGAATGATTTATTGGTAAAGCCTTTTGATGCTAAATTGTCTTAGTGTTGCCTTTTGGACACAGCTTACAAGATTCACTAGTACCCTCTAATCCAGAGACTATGATTTAGACTCTTGTAGCTGACAAATCAGTTTTTCATAACACTGTGAACTTCAGATTCTGTAGAGTGGCTGATACATGGTGTTACATTTGGTTAGAGATTATTTACAGTCAGAATATGAACATTACATCCTCCAGATCTATTTGTAAAAGATATGATTCTGTAACCCAATCTTGGTTACACTGATGCTAGGTTTCATCTATATTTGCACTATCAAATATATATTACATATAGTATCTGCCTTTAACTTACATTGAATATAGCTTTGCATATTGTGTTTCATAATAGTGTCTGTAACTTTTGTTTTTGGTAGGGTTTTGCTGCTGCTTCTTTTGCACATTAAACTATTGTTTTCTCTTTCCTTTTTTTCATTCTCCTTAATTAGATAGTATTACTTATCTATTGGTTATTATTTTTCATTGCAGGTGGTGTTTGATCATGATGGTGAGATATAAATTCTCTGATATTTTTATTAGTAATTGATTCTCTCAGTTGTTGTTCGTGCTTCTTATCATGCTCTAAAGTATTTCAAGCTGTTTGATGTTTTACTTGGAATCTCCGACTACATGATCTCAACCTCTTAAAACTGGCCATGATGATTTTTATCTTTGTCTGGGTGAATCTGCAATAAAATGATTTTAGTGAATGGTTTGATTCCCTATGCCCTCAGACATGTTGACTCTAAATTCCCTTTCCTGCCTTTGGTACAATAGATATCTCTTTTCTGCAGAGTTACTTGTCAAATTGTGGCGGGTTTGAGACTCAATTTCTGTTCAAAACATGCAAAACCCATATAATCTATGAAGGAAGATAGTTCCCTTTGATGAACTTATTCCTCACTCTTCTGTTTCTCTTGTGTTTGTCTCATGTTTTGTTGCTGAAGTGTCATTCCTTCATTCCTTTTCATTTCAAGTTTGACTTTTGGAAAGAGATGAGAGCAATATCAACAATAGGCTGGACATTGTGAGTACATGGACACTGATAAAACATTTAGTTGAGGTTCAATGTTAACTTGTTGTAAGCTAAATCTTGTTGTGCTACACTTCTGTCTTGTAAGTTAAATAACAGAGTTTATCTGATACATGACAAGAAAGAGAGATTCCAGTTTGTTGGCTGCATTATTATGTTTGCTATGTTTAATACTTGCGGAAGACAAAGTGTTCTTAACAGTATAAAATAATTCTTTAGTTTGGTTTGCGTTCGTTTCTCAAGCCACAGGCATTATTATGTCTGCTCAGTTTTATAATTGTGGAAAAAAAAGTTTTTTTGACAGCATAAAACAATCCTTTAGCCCTGTAGACATCCATTTCTTGAGCCTTCTCACTTTGAAGAAAAGTGATACTTCAATAGCATGAGCAGCATTTAACCAACTCATAGAAAAGTTAAGAGATGGCTTTCCTATGGTGTCATGAATTGAACTGTAACTGATTCATAGAAAAGTTAAGAGATGGCTTTCCTATGGTGTCATGAATTGAACTGGAACTGATCTTTACAGATGTTGCGATAGGGGCTGACAAACTGAAATCAGGAAAGAAAAGTATTCCATGTATTAGTGGTAGCCTGTCCTATTGAGCTTAGGATATCAAAGATAGGCAATGTTGTGACTTTGAAATTGCAAACATCAGTCAAAAGAAATCCCAAGAACTGATGTTCTCTTATCTTAGCAAATACATGAAACTGGAACCTTATGACTGGAAGCTTTCATGCAATGTTGCAGTTGACTGGGACTGTGTCATGTTTTTTGTGTGTGTTGGGGTTACTGCATCAAAACACAGCAAACACAAGGTACTTTGCATTGCCAAACACTGCTGAAATAACAGAGAAAGCAGCATAAAAAATCTTTCACTTGCATAGTGCTACAGTTAAGGGATTGAAAGTTGCAATGGGGTTGACTGCTAAAGTTCACCTTTTCCATTGTCTAAACCATAGATGGAGGATAGCTCTGGCTCAGTGAATTACTTGCACACGAAGAAAGAACCCTTTATAGCACAAACATCTTTCTTTCACAATTTTTAGAGGTTTCTTTAGGTATTACATTTGCACCAAACAAAAGATATCCACAAACTACCTTTGCAGGATACTTGGTCCAGTGAGTACCAAAATGTTGGGGCATAATTTGCCTAGAATTTGGAGGGTGCCTCATCCTTTTCACTGGAATTATGCAAAGGGAGCAAAAATTGTTGATTCCCTGACGTTTCAGCTCCTTGTCTAGTTCACAAATCAAAAGTGTGTGAACATGCAATTGTTCCATCCCAAAACTGTAGAACCCTTAATAATCAAACTCAGTGGTCAATTTGTGCATGATATTTAGACTGTGTGTCAACTTGTTAATTCCTAATCATTATATAAATGGGACTTTAAGTTGGTTGAAAACGCTTTCAGAAGTAGAACTCTTTAAGAGGGTATCGCAAATGTTAGATGATGAATTTGGGCCATCCAGTTTGTTCTCCTGTTTTCTAGTCAGTGGTCAATTTGCACGAGTCATGGGGTATTGGATAGTGAAACTGTTGTTCAATGTGGAATTTTGATAGACCAAACTTTTACTTTTCCTTTTCAGGAGTACCGTATGGAAAAACTAGTGTTTCACCCAACAAAACTGTCATGGAAAAAGGTATGTCAGTTTATAATTCTTTAAAATCTTTTCATAATGAATTTAACAATCTGTAAGAAATAAGAAACTACATATATAGGTGAATCCAGATAATTATGGGTGATGTTTGCTGGTTTTATACTGAGTCCACTGTGCAGAACGTAGAAACTTTATTTGAATGCAAGGCATGTCATTTTTGTGGTGTGGGCAATTCATGCCTTTTCAAATCACTTTTAAAGGTGTCTGACTTTAGAATCAAATTGAGCGGTTTTTTTTTTTGGCTTTGCTTTCTTGAATAATATGTTATTTTATGGCAACAAATCATTCTTTTCTTTATCATGATTGGTCTCAAAATGCTTATAAATTGCTTTAATTAAAATAGGGTTGTTTAAGAATTTTAATAATGTTTGATTTCCAAAGTTTCTGATCTTAGACTTTTAATGAAAGCAAAAAAGTGCTGATAAGGCAATTTAGTTTGAGTAGATTTGATTGGCTGCATAATGGACTGGAACATGATGAATTTCAGTAGATTTTATTGAGTTTAGCTTAACTGGCTGCATCAAACCTCCAACATGTACGTTCTACAAATGTTCAATGAATGTGGAATACATTTGTGGAATACAATTCACATGACATGAACTTGACTTACTCTGAATCGTTATGTTTGTCTGTGACATTAGTTTCATCTACTGTTGGGAGATACAACTAAGAGGGAGTTTATGATACATCTAAGAGCACGTTTGTGATTCTCTTAAGCAGCATGTGAATACACTGTAGATGGATCAGAAATGTTGATTTGTGATTAATGGAGGTCATATGAATCCATTTCTCATTAATGAATATAGTGAGGAGTTTTAGAAGCTCAGCCTGATGGGCTATGTATTCACCGCATGGTTCTTAGGTATTTGGATAGACATGGAAAACCATTTGCAGGTCCTTCTAGTGATCAAACAAACTTCATGACTATTTAATTTCTGTTCCTGTTTTCCATGTCGTCTTTTTAATTTCTATGCTTCAAAATGAGCCATAAGGTGACATCCTATAATTGCTTCTAGTACTTCAAGATAACAAGCATCCTATATTTATGCAAACAAGCTTCAAGAAGTAATTTTTAGTTTGATTCTGGCATGCTTGCCTTTTCAACTGTTAATTATATGTGCTGTTTGTGACAGCCATGTTCATTTGGGCACCAGGATACATGATCATGGATCAAACGCATTCTGAAATATTATCGAACATTTATAAAAAAAAGAAAAAATGGATCATGAAATGTTTCACCCAACTTAACTCACAAAGGCAAAAGATTATATGCCTTCAAGTGAATTTTCCATGGTAATTCCTAATGATTATTTTTTTGTTCATATTGTTTATTCTATTGCAATGGAACGGAATAATAATAAAAAAGAGATCAATATATTCACCGACTAGGCTGCCACATAGACTTCCATCTTTGCTAATACATCTGTACCCAAGTCCTTTTTAGTTGGTGCCAGTGGAGGGCCATGTGCACCTGCACAACATGGCCTAGAGCTAGTTTGGATGGAGAAGGTTGATTTTATTAGGTTTCTGGAAAAATAACTTGACTAGGATAAACTAAATGAGGTTTTTTATTGCAACTGCTTGGGAATGTGTTCAGAGTTCCTTTTCTACTGCTTAGCTTTGCTAAGGTGCTCATTGTAGTCTTGTCATTGTCTGTTTCTTATGATTTTACACCTATAAAATTACTCTAATGTTGCCATCTCTCACAATATTGTCTTGTTTTTTCCACTCACTTGCACATTTGCATTTTGTGTGTTCGATCCTACCCAAGAAAAAAAAAAAAAGTCCCCGAGTGGAGGCTACTTTACAAGTTAGTTTTGACAAATTAAAATCAGCTGATTGGATTTATCATGTTCTTTATTTTTTGAAGGCTTGAATTTTCGCCACACTTTATATTCTTTATACAAGAGCAACCGCCCTCCTACACCTGATACTGTCTTCCAGGGGCTTCCATATTTGAAAGCTGCCATCAAAGCTATGTCCGTTAAGGTGATTGAGGTAAGTAGCTATATCTTGCAGTTTTATATAATTGATCAACTCAGATTTCTCATGGTAATCAATTATGATTTTATGTGAAGGTAGGTACCGGGGGTAGAGGCAGATGATGTCATTGGAACATTGGCTGTAAATAGTGTCAAGGATGGTTTTAAGGTAATTATCTGAGCTCTATTTCTCAAATACCGGGAGTGTATAATGAAATCTAACCACAATCATCCATGGATTTTGTTTTCGTGGAGAGAAGATGGATAGTGTTCCACTGTTTCCCACACAGAATAAAATCAAAAGAAACAATTAAAATTAGAAACTGTCTATTGTATTGCTTACATAGCTACAGGCACACAATGTAACTTAGTATGTTATATGCTTCCTTTCAACATGGTTCTATCTTGCTTTAGTTGTGTGTTTTTTTTTTTTCCCTTTTCCCTCAACTGCCTTTCATATATGTGTTCTAGTCTACAGGTCAATGAAACTGTCTGGCTCCTCTATTGTTTGCCTTTTCTCTTATACTTACTCTATAATCAGCCTATTTATGTATTTTATCTAGGAGGTAGACAATTCATCTTGATCATCTTGCTTTTTAAGTCCCTGGAGAAGATCTTTTCTTGTATGACGGGTTATGAATAGTTAATTTTTTTCTCACTATTTGTTGAGTCTCACACTACTGATTTATTTTTCTCAAAAACAATATTTTCACCTCCCAGAACCCTTCTATCCACTTTCATATGAAAAACAGGAAAAATGCTTTTTGTTGATAAATTATACCTAGACAAACATATCTCATCTTAAGCCTAGAAATTGATACGCTTCTGCTTTTTTGTTAATAATAGCATTAATAAGCTTTTTCTGAAGTGTTCACAAGTGAAAGTTTTGGCATTAGGAGTAAACTGCCCCCTTTGTTTTGTTTGTTTTATTGTAGTTAAAGCTGAGTACCTTTAACATTACTGTTTGCCTAAAAGGGCCTTTGTAATTTTTTCTTGCCACCATTGGTGTCTCGTGATTGTGCTTATTTTGTAACAGGTACGAGTTGTTTCTCCGGACAAAGACTTTTTTCAGATTCTTTGTCCTTCATTACGTCTTCTACGGATTGCTCCACGTGGCCTTGAGTTAGTAACCATTCAACTTGCAACATCATGCCTGCATTATATTTGTTAACATTTGAGGTTTGAGTGATCAGAAATTCTTGGAGTATTCTGAAAGCTTTTCTTGCTGTGAATATGTTCTTTCTTATCATATAAAGTCATGTTATGCAAAGCTGCAATCAACTTTTTCATCCTGCATGGCTTAGAAATAATGTCATTTTGGTGATAATATGTTGGTTTCATTTATTATGATTCCACTAGTGGATTTGAGTTCATTTTTTGATATTTAGATAACTTGATGAACAATCTTAAGAACTAATAAACGTGAAGTTTTTTAAGTTCAAAGTGATTGGATGTAAACTGAAAATACAGAACCATTAAAAAATATGAAGATTTATGTTTGTTCTATATATCTTTCACAAGGAAAAAAAGAGAGTTAAAGGGATATTATGTGCTGGTTTTGGCTAAGATATATTTTATGTTCAAAGCAATTTGATGTAAACTGAGAGCACAAGAACCATGAAACAGTGAAGAAAGAATTTATACATGTTCTTTGTATTTATTGCAGTGAAAAAAAAAATTAAAAAAATACTGCAGAGCTGCATAAACTGGTTTTGCATTTACTATTCTTAACATACCCTCGAAATATATGAAATTAAAATTCTATATGTATAACACAGAACATATAATTACCTGCCAACATTTATCTATTCCAAATTTAAGTTTTGTTCTTTTTTGTTTTCTTAAAAAATTTGGTCCAATTAATATCTGGAGCCTACAACCAGCTATCCCAATGCCATGACACCACCCACGTCTTATGCTTATGATCTTGTAATATGACATATGACTGTAAATTCTGATGTCATGCTCTATTTGACTTTGATTTACTTATGGGTTCTTCCTAAATAAAATTTCAAATTCAGTTGAACTTGAAGGCAATTTTAGCCTGATAGTAAGGGGTGTGCAAACATTTTGATTGGTTCAGTTTTCAGTTTGGTTTTTAAAAACTGAAACCAAACTGAATATGTGTGAAACCAAATTATGTGAAACTGAAATATTTTTGTTTGGGTTTTGATTTTCAATACAAATAAAAATTTCTATTCTGAAACATTTCATCCTTTTTTACTATTTCTCGAAAATAAAAATTGAAAGAAAAGGGAAAGAATTTGTTTTTTTTTGTTTGTTTGTTTTCAAACTGTACCAAAATTGAAACTGAATTACCCAACCAAACAATTTCAGTTTATGATAGGGTATTTAAGAATTAATGATATAATAAGACAAGTTATTCATACCAGTGCAAATTAATGAGTCACCTGTTTAGTTACTTTTGGTGGGTTGTGATTGTGCTTCATGCTGCCTTGAATAACTTAATTTCTTTAATTTTGGCTTGCTTTTTCAGAATCTTGATCTGATTTTATAAAGTAGTGCTGTAGTTTCATATTTTGGTTTGCCCAGGATGGTTTCATTTGGAATGGAGGATTTTGCTGAAAAATATGGAGGATTGAAACCTTCTCAGTTTGTTGATGTAATGGCTCTTATGGGTGACAAATCTGATAATATTCCAGGTTCTGCTACATATCACTCATTAGTTAAATACATAGTCCGATGTTCATGATATGAATTTTTCACAGACAGCCAAATCTCATTTCCTTTATGATCTCTTTACATGTGTATCTTCTTCCAATGACCTATCATTGAACTTCCTTTACCATGATGTTCAACATTCATGTATTTTTTTCACTGAAGGAATACTTGATATGAATAAAATGAAAAATAAAATGCTGAATTTTGATGAAATGCTGCAAAGGTTGGGTCAAACTTGTGTCTAGCCTCTGCTTAGTTTCTGGAATGAGCAATAGAAATGAGCTAAAAATGTTTTAATTTTCTCTGAAATGAAGCAATCTGCTAGAAGTTTTAAGGAAATTTTTTTTTTGAGATTCAAATATTCTCAAGGTTGAGTAATTGATGTTCCATCATTTAATAATTGCAGGAGTTGAAGGAATTGGAGTTGTCCATGCTGTGGAACTGATCTCTAGATTCGGTATTGTCTTAGAATTTGTTGGAAAATGTCATAGGGTGATTATGCCATGACATTTGTTATGGAATATTTGTTTATTCTGCCAAAAGTGACTGCAAGTTTTTTTTGTCTGTCAATGTGGGATTTTCTTTTTGGCCCATATAAGTGTGTTTCTTGATATACTGACTTGCAATAATCTTCACTTCTTTTTCAGGCACATTAGAGAATTTGTTGAAATGTGTTGATCAAGTAGAAGGGGAGAGCATTAGAAAGGTAGAAATCTTCAACATGAATCAAGAACTTGCTAAAATTATATCCTTTTCTTTTCCCTTTAAATCTTTATCATTTTTTGTTGGTTGTTCCATTGTTTGACACTTGCAATGAGATGAAATATCTTCAGTCAATTTTTATCAAATCACTTGTGCTATATCTAGTCACTTTATTAGAATCCATCCCTGTGTGCTTGTTCTGGGGGTTGCTGTGGGGTCTAATAGTGGGTTCTTATTCAGCAACTATTGGGGGCAGGCTTGTAATGGCTTTCTCTTCTTCCACGTGGTTGGGGATGTTGCATGCATTATTGACAATGATATGCAACTCTCCTTTCTGGTAAGAAACGAGGATGTAGAAGTTTGTTATCAAGGATATTGCACCTCATGTAAATATAAGTTAATTTATCATGTCATGATCTTGTGCTCATGAAATTTGAGATAAATATAGCATGATATTAGCTTGTATTTAAAATTCTGTGGCTGTTTATGTGGCTGACTCATTTTACTTTCCTCTGGTCACTACTTTCTTGTAGGCCTTGAGAGAGAATGCTAAGCAGGCAGTACTAAGCAAGGAGCTGGTAATTTTCCCATCTTTTTCTCTGCTCATCATATTTTCTTGTGGAAAATTACTTTTTAGTGGATAAATATCACACCCAATCCCATTTTTAAAGCCTGCATAATGTTCATATGACTAGTATGACAAGAATAAAGTGCAGAAGAGCAAAAGACTGATACTATAGTAAATGGTGTAGACGTTTGTCTGTCTTTTCTATGGAATATCAAAAGACATCTTCATTTCTGAAACATAACCCTACTTGAGGCTTACAATCTGTATTTTTTTTATTATAGATTTTGTGCCTCACTGCTGAAGAAACTTAAATAAATACACTAAGTTCCATTGAAATGCTTGAAAATGCAGAAGCCTCATGACTGGCCATGTGCAGACTTGTTAAAACTGAGATACGGTGCTTTATATTTTGAAAGACTCGATGACAGTATGGCAGCTGTTACTTTATTATTAATCTAACTGTGACCGTAGGCACCTAGTCCTTGGTGTTTGTTTGATGCACGGATATCTTATGTAATGGCAGGCAAAGTTGCGATGTGAGCTTCCAGAGTACATGGTTCCATTTGCTACCACAGATTTGATTTTTAAGAAACCTGAGGTCCGTACACTTTGGCTATTTTAGAAGTTTTCTATCCATATTCAGGTACATGTGCAATTTAGTGAGAGGGGCTCTAAACACTTGCACTCTCCTAGTCAGAACTGGTCATTGTTGATGTTTATTTTGTTCTATCTCTGATGAGATGATGAATCCCAGCTAATTTCATTATTGGTTTCATGACTTGTGTGCTGGTTTTAATTGCACACTTCACTGTTGCTTTCCATTATAAATTGTGGCTTCCTAACAAGCACACTGCAATATTATATATACTATCTATCAAGTCATTTTCCATCACCAGCAATGCAGCCATAGTCTGCGCATGCACTGTTTGAATTACTTGATGCAGGCACTATTCTGTCAATTTATTCCTTCTAGAGCCATTCATTACTTATAGCTGGGATTTAATGACCATTTCATGGTATGTCCGTGCTTTGTTAACAGCAGCAGTCCCTTTTGGACCTTCCAAACCCATACATGGTGTTCCCATCATCAAGTGCTATTTTTGTCTTGGCAAATTATGCAAATTCTATTGCACTCTTCACCTGCTGAAGTGCAAAGCCGACTGTACTAATCAGCTCCAATAATTTTCTTTGTTGCTTTATTCTACATTTTTTTATTGGCCACTGCTCAGCTTAACCTTGCTCTTGTAATCAGCTGCATCTTGTATGGAAGATGAAGCTTCCATGCTCTCATGCACAGCTTTCTGGGATAAACTCTTTTGCTAATTATTTAACTGCAGGAAATACTGATTTTTTGGTTTGACTGGTGCAGGACAATGGTGAGAAATTTACAAACCTCTTGACTGCCGTCAGCTCTTATGCTGAAGGCTTTTCAGCTGACATGATCATCAGAAGAGCCTCCAAGTTGTGGGAAAAGCTTGAAGCAAGGTGATTAGATCCATTGCCAGTGGAGGCAATTAGACATTTTTTCATGGGAGTAGTGTTGTCTGTATAGCTAACTGCAAACTCTGCTGATTTTGGAGCTAGCATATATGATGAATGCTCTATCAATTCTTGTCCAAATTTTTAGTATCCAAAAATTTGAAGGGAAATTTATGAAATGCAGAGGAAACGGTTCCTTTCTCAAGATTTTATCCTCCTTACAGATTTATTATGTTTTCTTAAAACACTGCCAATTTGACAGAAAGTAGTTTGGCCACAGATGGAGGTGCTTTTTCACAATTTATAATGATGATGCCCAGATTCTTCATATCCTTAAATTTAAATCATGCATGCTATCTTCTCTCATTAGCAAATATTTTGATTTTTGTACGAAATTTTACTTGGTACCAGGGAAGCGAAGCATACAAGAAGCAGGGCTATTCTGCATCAACAAACAATGAGATAAGCAAATTATTCTAAGCTTATAATTTTATTAAATCTCAAAGTAATTAAAGGGAACATCAATTTTATTTTGATTTATAATAAATAAAAATTGCAAAAATTTCTAGACATAATTTAGTGCAAGCTGAAAGCCTTTTGGGCTCAAGCCATGCTTTTTTTTTTATATATATATATACTCTCCCATCATCAATTACTCAGATGTCATTTTGAATTAAATTCATAGATTTGCACTGAATTATCAACTTCTCTCAGCTTTTTCAATGTCGCCACTGGCTCATGCGTGTCCCAAATATAGCACACAAAAAAAGAGTAAATCAACATGGCTAATAAGTATAAATGCTTTCTTTTTGTTGAATATATACTAATGAAGAAACAATATGGCTATGATAAAATTAATAAGGTTATACACTCACTTTACTAGAGTGACTTATATAGCATTGGTAAAAAAGATTGCCTGCTTTTAATTAAAAAGCATTTTGATATTTCTACACGGACTAATTATCATTATTGATTTGTGTAAAGAGTATTTTTATCTGTATAACATTTTTATGACCAATAATAAGATTTGACCACGAGTTAGAAATGTGATTCTCTCATCTCCTCTTTCATTTTAGATGGTATGTGAAGTTTAAATATTTTTATATATTTCTGTTAATTTCTTTTTTTGTTAAAGTTTCATGTGTTTTCAATTGGTTTCTAATTTTATATGTATAATGATTTTTGATTCGGTTTTTTTGCATTTAGTTTTGTATTTTTTTATCTTTTTTATTTTTGATAAAGTTCTTATGACTTTTAATTTTATTCTTCAAATCAAGTTTATGATTTTGGTTTTATAGATAATAATAAAAATAATAATAATTAAATTAGTGATAATAATAATAATAACAACAATGATAATATTATTATTAATAATAATTGTAGTAGTAATATTAATAATAACAACAATGATGATGCTAACAACAACAACAACAACAATATTAATAATAATAATAATAATAAAATTTTTATTCCATGCTAATTTAACTGTAATTAGTATTATTAAATATTTATCATTATTTATTTTTTATATTATCTTTTAAATTTATTTTAATATCTAAATATTATTTTTTATATAAAAAATAATCTAGCCCCAAAACAAAACCCATCAACCAATGCTAGTATATACATGAACCTAGATGATGGTTCAAAATTCTTTCGAGAAAATTTGGGAACATGATTTACTAAAAAATTTAATATTTTTATTAAACAATATATTTTTTATATTTTAAATTATTTTGGTATACTATACTAATTTTAAAAATAAATTTTTTTAAAAAAATTATTTTAATATAAAAAAAACATTTTAAAAAACAGTTCAAATCACACTCTTACAAGCCCAACTACTAGAGTGCAGTGTAATTCTTACACAACAAAAAAAAAAAATTGAAATTAAACAAGACCAAGCTAGGGAAATAAAGAAGATGATGATGATCGATGCATGGAAGATACAAAGAAGAGAGAGATATCTACAAAATTTTGAGCTCATTCCACAGCCCATTGCACTTGGTGTTGGATTCGTATAAATCTTTCAAGAGAAAACCTCAGTGATTGTTGCTATGATTTGAGGAGCTCACTACCATGCTCTTTATATGGAATTCTAAACCTCACTCGAACAAGTGAAAAAAAAAAAAAAAACACTACATAGGGAGTTGGAAACTGCTTTAAACAATGACATTTGTTTCTCCATGGCAAGCGCCGAAGACATTGCCTCTTTGACATCTACAAATCTCAACGTCTTTGGATATGAAGCTCTTCAGTCTTGATGATGCCTGTTTACACTATGGATGATCATGTGTCTTAATGTTTCTTACTTGGCTAATTTGATAATTTGACAGTGATGCAGGAGTCTCAAATTGGCAGCAATTAGAACTATTTAATTGATGAGAGCAGCTATCTATTAGAACAAAACGAATAGTCTAAAAGCAATTACAAATGAATAGATTACTCTGAAAATAATCACATTGTACAAGTGCTTTACAAAATTGGTGAATTTAACTTGCTGTTTCAGGTTCAGGTTCAGGTTCAGTTTCAGTTTCAGTTTCATTCTCAGTTTCAGCTTCAGGTTTTTCAAGCTCTAGAACAGCATTAAATCCAAATTCATTTCCAGGTACAAACACTTTCTTGAGTTCTTCTGCCCTTTGAGTGGTGCTAATTTTGTTTTCCTTCACCTTCAGATTTTCCTGTTTTGAATGGAAAAACTCATCAATACTTGCTTCAGCTTCAAAACGAAGACCAACATTAAGTGTTGCAAAAATAACTTGCCTTCTTCACATAATCTGCCATGGTTGAGGTGACTATTTCTTGTATCACAAAATTAGTTACACGATCTTCTCCAAGGATTTGTAGGAGGAATTCCCTTGGAACCTACAGAAATTATTAGTCAGACATCTTATGATGCAGGACAAAAGTAGGCAGATCATAATGCTAGTTATGCAACTCCCAATAGATGTTTAATGGAGTAGTTTCAGTGCATAGAATTTGCTTTACGAGCATGAAGGATGAGAAGCAAATAACATTAGATACTTCACGCCATGACCAGCTACAATTTGGCATATACAACATAGAGATATAACAGGGGCAACAAGCATTTGCAAATACTTCACAAAAAATAAGAATGGTTCTCATCTCTCTTCATTAGAACTAAGTTCGGCATTTAAAAACAAGGAAGAACACAATAATTTACTTCATGTAGGAGATACCAGCACTCTCTTATATTGAAACTTGAATAATATGTGAGTGAAACCATGACTTGAACTTCCTGAATTTTGCATCTTTTATTCCATTTCCAAGTAATTAACAGACTACAACAAATCATAAAATGAAGATTTCAAGTAAAACATGCATTATTCTAGAGGAATAAAGTACTAGCTAAACATACATGCAAAACTATAAAATTTTGATTTCCAGAGAGAGAAAAGAAAACTATGAACGAGAATCACTCACATTTGTTGTTTTTCCTGGATTAGCCAATATGCAAGGAAAAAAAAAGGGTTAGAATTCATTGACTGAGGAGTTAACAAGCTGCAGAGACAAAAATTAATGAAACAAAGGACAAAGGTGAGAAGCAATCAAGAGATTAAAGACAGTGCAGATTAAAAAAATGGGTCTGGGGATCCTAAACAGGTCAAGATGATCATGCTTCAAAAGCAGATGACTCATCTAAATGTTGGAACCACCTATTGAGGTATCCATCAGCAGAAAGTAACTCAAAGGACATTTCTTTGGATTAACAAAGAAATGCATGATACCACATCTCTTTATTTAATATCTCATCCTAACCACTATCAACTATGGATTCTTCTCACAGGATAATTTCAGACTACCATCAAGAAATTACTAAAGAACCATTAAACTTGTACTAAGATCATTTAGATTTAATAATACGTGAATATCTGAACTTGAATGCATCTCAACATTAAACAAAGAAACTTTGAATAGCTATAATCAAACTCATTGCTCATTCATTCAGAGCTCTTGTCGGTAAAGTAGACCGAGAGAGAGAATTGGCTTCTCGAGAATCTGCTAGAGTCAGATCAGTAGGGGAGTACACACCAGGACATTATTAGTAGAGAAAGAACCCATACCCTGAACTGGGGAAAGGATATAACCGCCCAGGGAAATTGTGAACTTACTGAATTGACTCCCTGTTCTACAGGTGAGTGTGATTTTTAGCTACACTCTATTTGTCTATGTTCATACTCATAATTGCAGAACGTTATTCCATAATTTGATGGAGGCAGTCAAATTCAGTTATATATAAGTACGGAAGAAATAACATGTATAACCATTACCTCCTTTCTCTCTTCGAAATCCTGGAATCGGAGGTGCGGAACGAGCTAAATCAGTCAATGCCTTGTTGAACACCTTTTGAGTCTCATCTCCACTCAAATCCACTCTTACCTAAAAATTAAACATAACCACATTTACAAATTTTGCAAAATAGCATTAATTATCAGCTACTCGAGATTCGGAGAACAATAACCCACCTGCATCTTATCTTCTTCTTGGGATTCAATAACTATTTTAACATTTTTCAATGCTATTAGTTTCTCATTCGTTTCTGCAATTGATGCCTCCATACCTTTAAAAACACCCAAATGCCACAATACTTCAATGAGTAACACCATAAATTTACTATCTATAATTGTGTTTAGAAGCTAAGAAAATATTAACCTGACCCAACAGCAGATATAGGCTTGACTCCCACATGTTTAAGCACTCTCAAATTTGGATTAGAAGAAAATAATAATAGCCTGAAATGTTTTAAACAAAACAAGAACTTGATTAAACAATCAAAATATACTAACAAAAACAATATTAAATGATTGTTTTTGTAATTTACTTATTGCAAGTAAAGTGAGATTGAAAGAAAATGATGCTATTTCTGCTGCTGCTACTGCTCAAAGAAAGACACTGTAGACAGAAGTGGTTAGTCAGTCAGTCAGTCTAAGAAAATGTTTGGTTTCCAAGAAAATGCAAGAAATCTTCAATATGATATGACGGGCAATGAAAATGGGGTATTCTTACTTTGTAAAAGGAGAAGTTTCTAAGTTGTTGGAGTTGTAAAGTTGATGCTGTCGTCGTCATCGCCGCCATCAAAGCTTGCTTCCTTCCTCCTCTCTAGCCTATATCATTTCCGTCCACTCAATTTTATAAATCCGTTGAAGACCGACAACCCGACATGTCGTTAAATTAGTTAGTCTAAAGATGA